CATCAGCATCATGCTCATCATAATCAGCATGATCACCCTCGTCAGCATCATGAGCATCATCAGCATCATCATCATCAACATCATCATCATCATCTTCAGCACCATCATCATCCGCATCATCGGTAGCATCATCATCATCACCATCATCACCATATGTTATCATTATCATTCATCATCATTACCATCATCAGCATCATCATCACCATCATCATCATCTTCATCATCATCAGCAGCTGCATCGTCGTCCTCCTCCTCCTCATCATCATCATCCTCCTTATCATCTCGCCCCCACGCGGGCCCCAGGGATGGCCCGAAGACGCCCTCCAAGGCGGCTTCCAGAGATTTCCCTGTTCACCCTGGTTTGCCCGCTTTGTTTCCCTCCAGTGTGTCACTTCGTCCCTTTTCCCATCAACTCTCATGGGCAGGGTTTAAAAAAACGGGCAGGTGGGGACACGTGAAGCGTGAAGAACCTCGAAGAGCATCCAGCCGTCGAGACGAGGGCTCTCCAGAACGGGTAGCGGTACCGGCACTGCAGATTCGTGTCGTGTCGACCCCGGGATTTGGCTCCTGCCATCGCTCAACCTTGAACGATCGGCCGTTTCCGAAACGTCACATCGTTCAACACCAAACGATTCTGGGTCGCCGACGGCGTTCCACGTGGAACGCCAGCGGCGGGGTCATCGCCGCTCGGCACGACGCGAAGCTACCGTATCTGTTCCTCCCCTGACGAGAAAGGGGAAACTACTCCCTGGACTCCTCCTGGGGTTCGTTCTGACCAGAATTCTGCGGAGACTCCAGGAAGGTGGCGACGAGGGCATCCGAAGAGGCCTAGAAAGGCAAACGAGGGAAGGGCAGCGGTATGATGGGTACACCTTTTCTCCCCTGACAATCGGGAGCGGCTAAGAGGGGGGCGTCCAAGGGGGGGGTGCAACTCATGGCCGGCGGCACGTGCGCGGCCCAGGAGGGGGGGCCGGGGACGTAATGAAATAAGAAGAGGCGCCATGAAATCTGGGGAAATATCATGGCCCACGCCATATCCACCCCCCCAGTCATCACCCCCCTCTTCTCGGGCGTTGGTAGAACTGGGTTTAGTGGAACCTGCCTGGTTTAGTGATCTGTACCAGGGGCGCCCCCCCGTCCCATTTCCACTAACCGGAACTGCCGTCACCCGAAAAAACACAAGCTATGGCAAACCTGGTTTGGTGATTCTGGCCAAGTCAAAGGCTCCGGGGCCCTACCACTGACTGGGTTCCCTTACCCGGGGACCTGGCCAGGGACGTAATGAAATAAGAAGAGGCGCCATGAAATCTGGGGAAATATCATGGCCCACGCCATGATATCCCCCCCCCCAGTCATCACCCCCCCTCTGCCGCCCCCGAGACGAGAGACCCCCGGGGCGTGCGTCCTGCGCTTCCAGTCCGGCACCAGCTCGTCGGGCTCGCCCTCGTCCGCCACCGGGGCGGGCGCCGGGCCTCCCAGGAGAGCCCGGCAGCGGATCGACAAGTCGGATCGGCGATCGAAAGGAACGAAGGGGCCCAGGGACACACAAATAGATAGACACAAATAACTGGACTCCCCATATTTTCCTACATCTTCTGGGCTTTTGCCTTCCCCCCCACTCCCCATTGTTTCCCATCTTTTCTGGGGAATCGACGATGACATTGCGCCTGTGCTTCTGTTCCTGGATATCGGCAGCCACGTCGGGAAAAGTCGAATCGGCGGACGTCGGCAGGCGAGCATGCCTCCAGTGAGAGAGACCGGATCCCAACTCGGACTCCCACATCGAGTCGAATCGGCATCGGAATGGAATCGAATCGGCGGACGTCGGCAGGCTGGCAGGCCTCCAGTGCGAAACCGGATCCCGAATCGGACTCCCACATCGAGTCGAACTGGAATCGGAAGCCGTCGATGACTACACACCAGACCACCCCAACCCAACCCGAAGACCCGAATTTCGGGTTGGGGGGGTACGGGTTCCGTATGTGATTTCTCAATGTTCCCCGACCCCCCCCCCACTGAGATGGAGGGCAAAAATTGAAGCCTTCGGGCTGGGCTGGGGTGGTTTGGTGGGTGGTGAGTCGAAAGCGAATCGACTCGAGTCGGCAACGTCGAACTGAGCCCTGGCCTCCCGCCGGGCAGGGCTCCCAGGCGCCGCAGGCGCCCACGGGCTCCCGCTCCGCCCCTGCGGGGTCGGCGCCCTCGGCGCCGGCGTCCGCACACGCGTCGCCCTCGGCCGCGTGCGCCGCGTCCTCTTCCTCCTCCTGGAGGAGCAGAGAGGGCGGAACATGATGGGCGTGCTCTCCACCACCACCATAAGTTGGAGGGCGGGGTCCTCCTCCTCCTCCTCCTCCTCCTCCTCCTCCTCCTCCTCCTCCTCCTCCTCCTCCTCCTCTCTCCTCCTCCTCCCTCCTCCTCCCTCCTCCTCTCCTCTCCTCCTCCTCCTCCTCCTCCTCCTCCTCCTCCTCCTCCCCCCTCCAACTTATGGTGGTGGTGGTGGTGGAAAACCGGCCCATCATAAAAACATCACTTCCCGGAGGCCCGCGCGGAGGTCTTCCGGCGACGAGCGAGGGGGTGAGGTGAGGAGAAGAAGGCCTTCTCAGAAGGCCGAAGTCCCACGGCCTTCTGAGCAATTGTCCTCGGCCTGCCCCGAAGCCGGCACCAAAAAAAAGTTTATCCGAAAAGTCTCTGAGAAGTCCCGGCCGGCACGAAAAAAAACTTCAGAAAGCGAAGGGTTTCTGAGAAGTCCCGCCGCCTTCTGAGAAGGCCTTTTCCTTCTCAGTTCCCCCCCTCGTTCGCCGCCGAGCCTTGGATCTGCGCCGAGGCCCCCGCCCTGGCGCGCGGAGCGCGCCAGAGGCGGCGCCAGAGGCGCCGCTGGGGAGCTCCAGCGCAGAGCCGGGAAATCCGTGCGGAATGCCGAAAGTCTGTGTTTACAGTGGGAGCTCGACCACAAGAAACCTTCCATAAGAAACCCAACCCTGGGACCCCAGGACATCCACCGATTTTTGGTGCGGGAACGTCGCGCCTTCCATGGCAGAACCATCGAAACCAAGGAAACCCAGGGCACACTGGAGGCGAGCAGGGTGTTTCTTGGCATGGGTCTCCAATGTTTGCCGCCAGAAGCGCTGGAGGCGCCGACGGGGAGCTCCAGCGTAGATCAAAGAAATCCGCGCGGACTGCCGAAAGATGGAGCTACATTAAGGGGAAGGGGGAAGGGACGAAGAGGCAGGGGAGGAGGAGGAGGAGGAGGACGACAAGAAAGAGGAGGAGGAAGAGGAGGACGAATGGGCAGGAGGGAGGAGGAGGAGGAGGAGGAGGAAGAGGAGGAGGAGGAGGAGGAAAAGGAGGAGTAGGAGGAGGTGGAGGAGGAGGAGGAGGAGGGGGAGGAACAAGAGGGAGGAGGAGGAAAAAGAGGGAGCAGGAGGAGGAGGAGGAGGAGGAGGAGGTTGAAGAGAGAGGAGTCGGAGTCGGAGTCGGAAGCCTTGGCAGCTGTCTGGGGTTCTACTGCATGCGACCCTGATGCTGCTGGCGCGGTAAATCGGCGAATCGGCGGGTCGCCTACGGGACCCTTGGCTTTTTAGCCTCTCGGCCCGCTGCAGCGCGGGGCCTTCTCGTAAAAAATAACAATGTTATGGATACGGCAGGGGCTTGGGGCCTTCTGGCCAATCGCCCCTGTCTCAGGACTTGTCCCTGTGAAGCAGTCGTCCCGCTACCTCCTCACCGCCAACTCCCCCCACTCCCCAGTCCCACTAACACTGCTGCTGCGCATTCTACCACTGCTCACATGTCAGATGTCTGGCCCCGCGGTCCAGGATCCCGAGGTTTGGGGGAGACGATGGTCCGCTGGGGGACCGTCCGAAACTGGCCGCTTCCGTAAGTGAGGAGGAGGAGGAGGAGACAGAGAGAGGAGGAGGAGGACTGACTGACTGACTATGACTTGGATCCAACGTGTCGTCAACTGCCTCTGACACTACCTCTTGCAGTGCGGATTTTTTTTTTTTTTTTTTTTTTTTTTTAAAAAAAAAAAAAAAAAAAAAAAAAAAAAAAAACTCGCAGCATCAATCTGGATCTGTCGGGGCAAGCCCCCTCGCTACGCACAAGCGCGCGGGTGCCATTCAGCACTCTGGCACCGCACGCACCCTACTCCTGCGCTGGCAGGCTAGGGGCATGCGTGCACTCGGATATATAATTATATGCAGCTGTCTTGCCTTCGCACGTTTAGCAGCGAGCACTTTAACGTGCTCTGGAACAGAGTTTTCGGAGCACGTTGGAATATATGTATGCCGCTGTCTTGCCTTTGCCGCGCCTGCCTCGGCCTCGACTCTTACCTTTGTCCTGCCGAACAGGCTGGGGGCGAGGAGTGAGGAGAGCGGGGTCAACTGAGGATTGCAAAACTGGCACTGGCTGACTAGGAGCAGGAGCGGCACTCAGGAAGCCCGCGGTCTCCAGAGCTCGGTAGCGCTGACTGTCGCGAAACGCGGGCGGCGCCGAGCGCGGGGCCCCTCGGCTCTGGCTGCTCTGGCTCAAGTCTGGCGTCACGAGTCGGGCTCGCGTCTGAACCTGTGGAACTGGTTCTCCCACGAGCTCCAGTATCACTTCGTCGTGCGGACGAGGCGGTTCAGCTCGCGCTGGAGTGGCCCCCGCGGTGCTTCGCCCAGCTTCCGCTGGCCTCCGTCTCTCTTGATCTCGGCGATGATGATGCCCCGAATCAGCTTCATGTTGCGCTCGTGCAAGTCGAAGGAAAAGATTAGCCGCACTTTCTCCTCCTCGTTGGGGGCCTTGTTCTTCTTCGCCTGGAAGTGGGCGATGCAGCTGCCCAGCGGCTCCGACCCCTCCGCACAGACCACCGTGCGCCAGAACTCCTCGAGCACCTTCTTGGCTTCCGGGCCCACCAGGGTCGCCAGCCCTTTGATCGTCGCCGCTGCGATCATCAGGTGCGGCGGGCCGAGGGCCGCCGCGTCGGTCTGGCTGTCCACCATGTGTTGCTCCGTCAGCTCCTTGGCGTCGGCGACGCATTGCTGGCCTGCTTGAATGGCGAACGTGGGGAGCGGCTTGGCTGCGCCCATCTCCCAGGCCTCGTACACTGCGGCCCGCTGGTCCTGTACGTCTTTGGCGACTACGAGCGCCAGCTTGGCCGAGGTGACCGCGATCTGCCCCACCCTGTCCCAGTCCTTGCCCTTGCCCGCGCCCTTGCTCTTAAACTGCTTGTTGGGGTCGTTCTGGTCCGTCGCCGCCGCGAGCCCCCTCTTGCCCGCCCACGCTGGTCCAGCGGCGAAAGCGCCCACCATGGCTGCACCCCCTGCTGCGCCTGACGCCGCCGCCGCCGCTTCGCCTGGCATCTCGTCGCGGAGCGCCGGCCGGGCGCGAGGCGGCCGCGGTCGGGGCCGAGGTCGGTCGGCGCGCTGGAGTCGGAGGCTGCAGAATTGTTCGGGGAAAATGGCTGCGGATGTGGGCAAAGATCTGCAGTTTGTCGTTGTCCGCATACCCGCATATTCTGCATCTCTGGTCAAAGTCCACCGCTGGTTTCATCGTTCCGCTTCTGCCCGAGGGGCATTGTCCACGCAGAAAAGCCTTCATAAGATGCCTGCCCGCTGTGCTCCGTTCCCCGAAGATCGTACCGCAATTTACACACTCATTTTTTAAGGTCAGGAGGAAGGCGAGGCAATGCTTTATGCGATCCAATGCTTATTTTTCGTGCTTGCTTCGCATATGCGATATCAATGCTTTACGCGATCCAAAGAACATCCCGCACACCATGCGTTCACACTGTGATCCTGGGAGAGTCGGCGCAGGCACAGGCATGTTTGGCAGCGTCGGCGCAGCAACATCGTCCATGAGCTCGCATCTCCACGGCGCAATCTCTGACAGGGCCGTCTCCTCCTCCGCTACGTCTGCTGCTGCTATACTAGAGCTAAGGCCTGGGGGTGGGATGGCGCGGGCTCGGTAGGCCTGGCGGAGCTCCTTGGGGTGAAGGGCCTCCTGGAAATCAGACTCAAAGAAGTTACCTGGTTCTATATCGAGGTCTCCAATATTACTCGCAAAGCTGTCAGTGCGGCAGGCCTCCTCTAGGTCTTTAACAATTCGCTTAGCCCATTCGTTACACAGCGGGTGAAGCGCACCATCATCACAGACCGTCGGTTCTGTCTCCAGCTCCAGCTGTCCGAAGATAGCCGTCAGTAGCTGCTGATGCCGCGTAGGTTCCAACAGTACTTTACGAATCCATGAGAGACGTCTGACAGCGGCCTCCATCTGCAGTGGGAGAATACGCAAGTGACTGAGAACCTCGTAACTGGTAAGACTTCGAGTCGATCCGTCCTCCAAGGGCCTTGTAGCCTGTCCCCTCATAGCTTTCCTGGTCAAACCTGCCACCGTCATAGTAAGTGTTATGTACTCTGACTTCGTCGGGCAGTACCTCTCTGCGCAACTGAGACCTGCGCTCACAACTTTGAATATGAGGACCGAACATTTCCATGTATATGGGATCCCCGCTTTGAACCAAAATCCCCCCATCTCCTTGAAAGCCCTGATCATCGCATGCACGCGCGGTTTCAGTTCCGCTCCGAATGTGTTGGCCGTGTTTAGATGTGGCCCCAGATATCGTGCCGACTGTGCCGTGCGCCCCGGGAGTACATGCTGCTTGCTCCTAAGCTGCCTGCACTGCGCAACCGATCCTGCCCCCTGCATCCTGACCATGCTCTCCGGTTTGTCCAGATCTTGATGCAGGCCAAACCTGATCAATATAGCGTCTAGCATCTCGTCTGCCTGGCGCGCTTGTCGCGCTAAATCCGCCGCGGGATGCTGCGCTATGCTGAGCAATATATTCTAGAGGTCGTCTGCATACTTGAACAGGCCAAGGTATTGCGGCTTCTCAAAGAAAGGGCAATGTGCCTGCAGTGCCTGATCGCACTGGAGAGACGCAAGGCAGCGCTGCTTCCACTGCTCTACGGGGTGGGAGAACATAGCCACAAAGTTGTAGATCATATACGGATCCCCTATGAGCCCGCCGCACCCTGGTCGCATCAGCAGAGGGTCCTGCCGGTCACGGCACGGGACCGAGAAAGCGCAACTCCTGTACCTCTGACCCCCCAGCTCCCACGCGTCCTGAGTAAGTAAATCCTGGGTCGCCGCGCCCATACTTTAGCCAGTCGCCGCTGGCGAAAGCACTAGACATATCTTTGAGTACCACAGCATAGGATACCCCGGCTCTGGACAATCGATCCTGTGTAATCATGCTAGCCATAACTGCCCCCTCCCGTCGTCGCCCCTTCACAAACCCGTAGCCCTCGCCCCTCCAAGGTTGAGCCCCTCCCCGTTCCAATTGTGCAGCGTAATAACATTTCCCAAGCGGCTCCAGAACGTGGTAGATCCTTTTACCCCTGGGCCCCGTCTTGTTGTTTTTTCGCACTGCTGTAGCCTCGCTAATGTGCCAGTCTGCCGGGGCCCGTTTGGTGATGCGGATCTGCCGGAAGGCCTGCTCAAGTTCGCCCCTGAAGCTCTTGAGAAAGATGCGGGGCCTCTCGATGCCTATTCCTCCTCTGTCTTGGACCTCGGAGGGCTTGGTAAGCATCATCCTCCAGGCTTCTGCAGGAGCCGCGCCTACTGGGTGGGCCCTGCGGAGTTCTGTCCTATAGAGCCTGCAAGCGACGTTCTTCATGTCCTGCTGGGCGAGGTCGATCGCATCATTCAGTGTCGCAAGATCGGGGGGGCGGGCACGGTGGCGGGACTCCTCTCTCAGCTCCTCTCTGGTCGTCGTCCTGGCCTCCATCCCTCATTGTCCTCCTGGGAGCCTCCAGAAGTCCTCCCACTCCTGTCGAGTCGGCATGCTGGTGACCACGCTGCGATAGTTCCCGCGCCGTCGTCCCGGCTGCGTGCCTGCCGGAAGCCTACTCAGTCTGCCCACCTCCGCCAAATCCCTCCTGCCCCATGCCTCCCACAGCTCCTCCACCCTCCCCGCTCCTATTTGTTGCCGAGCCTCTCTCCTCATACGCGCACACTTCACCGCCAGGGCTTTAAGGCGAGACTGTGTGTTCATCATTTGCTGCTTCGTCCCCTCGCCCTGTTGCTCCCTGATGTCCCGTCGCTTCGCAAGCACATCCAATCGCTCCTGCTGGAGTCGTCGGTAAGCGTCGGTTCTGCCGGACCCGCTGCTGAAACGTTTAGCCGCCACACGGTGCACAATTTCCGTAAGCGCTCCGACTGTCGCCGTGCTGTCGCCTCCAGCCCTAATCTCACTCAGCTCCTCCTCTCTCCTCGTGACCTCCTCCTCCACCTCCGCGACGAATGCTGCTCTGCCCACGTTTCTCCTGACACCCGCCACTAAAGTTTGCCAGTCCCATCTGACTCGTCCTTGTGGTTTATGCCCATATACTCTCAGCATATATATATATATATATATATTAGCATGTGTAGGGATGTGGTCTCGTAGTTCACGGCAGGGTATGACCTGCAGTCGCCGGCCCATGCGGCACAGTGGTCCCACTGTCTGAACAAGCGGACGCCACTCCTGCGGCAGCAAAAGATAATCGATCTGGGACTTATGTGTTTCAGCGAAGTAGGTCGGCCGCCAGTGGTCGTGAGTGCTAGCCGCATACAAATGACGACGGTCTGCAATCCCACGAAGGCGTTGCCCCGCTCCCCCTGGGAGGCACTCGGGGGCACCCCCAGGTCCGACCGCCCAGCTGTGGATTGGTTCCCCCTTATGGTTTTGTCCCATACCATCGTTGACGTCGCCACCAATGATAACCGCCGCACTTGGGCCCGCCTGAGCCGCCTGTTTGTCGATCCAGTCCGAGAGGGTCTTGGCAATGCGTAAATACTGCCGTCGTTCGGCCGTGGTTCGAGGCTGAGGCGGGTAATATACACATATGTACTTCACACGCTGTCCACCTAGTTGTAGCGTAGCTGAAATACCCCTACCATGTAATATGTCAGGTGGTACCGCTGTGTCCAGAAGTAGTGCGTGCTGCCATTTCCCCCTCCAGCTAATCATGCATCCCGCCGAGTTGTTGCTGTACGCCGCTCCCTCCCTCCCTCCACCCACTCTCCACATACCTGCACCTGCCCCCCCCCTTGTGTAGTGATGTAGCCCATCTGCTCCGTTTCACCTGAGGGTCGGCGCCGGGTCGTCCCTGCAAGGCCGATGAGGTCGAAGTTGTGACATTCCTCTCCTATTTCGAATAGCCTGTCGGCGGCACAGTGCATAGGGTTGTAAAACAGAACTGGAAGAGAAGCCATCCGAGCCGCACTCGTGAGGTGTAAGCGCGGGCTGATCAACATGTGACAAGGGAAGGAGTGAATGGTTTCCCTGAGGTGTGCTGGCCGCCCGATCACCGCTTGACCTCGCGGTGGCTAGGAGGAGGAGGAGGAGGAGGAGGAGGAGGAGGAGGACGACGACGAGGAGGAAAAAAGAAGGAGGAGGAGGAAAGGACAGAGAGAGGAGGAGGAGGAGGAGGAGGAGGAGGAGGCGGAGGAAAAAGAGGCATTCTTCGACCTCCTCGCACGAGCGTCGAGCACGCCCGCATGCCCCAAGCAGGCCACCCCTTCGGGGTGAGAGGCGCCGCGGTCGCCTTCTTTGCGGCGGGCGCCCCATCGGCTGCGCAGGCTGTCCGTCTCTCGGCCTCGCGGCCTGACGATCTCACGACTGGGGCGACGAAGTCTGCACACATCCACTGCTCCATGGCCAGGCCCATCCTGAACCAAGCAGCGGTGTGTAGGCCACGCCTTCCTGGCTTGGCCAGAAGGGCGTATACACAGCTCCTGGGTTCAGGATGGGCCTGGCCAGGGAGAAGTGGATACGTATAGATTTCGTTGCCCGAACTACAGGACCGTCGGTGCCACACCCAGGCTCTCGACGGCACGACCCAGGCTCTCGACCTCACCGTCTGCCTCACGACGCCACGTCCCAGGCTCTCGACCTCACTGCTCATGTGCTGGTATCACGGCAGATCGGTTTATTTCTCTGCCTGCCGAAATAAACATATGTTTGTATATATATATATATATAAAAAGATACATATATGTATACATACACGTAAATAAATCTAAAATATGAGTAAAAGAACTGTAGTATGTATGTACGTGTGCATGTATGCATGTATGTAGGTATGCACGCATGTTACGTAGGCATACACATGCATGCATACGTGAATGTCTGCAGTTATGTATATACATACATGCCTACACATCGTATCTACATACATACACACACATACAAACAGACAGACAGGCAGACAGACAGACAGACAGACATACATATATACATGTATATGTTCATACACACATGCATACATGCATGCATGCATGCATGCATCTACACATGCGTATATGCATACGAACATAC